CGAAGTTTATGTATTGCAATTAATTGTACAACAAATCCTATTTTTTTATTTTATATCCGCTATAAGGCGCAATTCCACACTGTCTTTCTATTTAAAATTTCGAAAATACATGTAAATACACAAATTAAGCGATTATACACATAACCGGAAAGGAAGTCAACGAATCGAACTTGTTTGATGCAGTTGGTTGCGATTTGGCGCAATAGCAACTATACGAATGTCGTGCAGGGTGCCGCGGTTTTTCACCCTGAAACGGCCACGACGGTGAACACACGTAACATCTTCTACATGTAATATTCTCGCACTAAATGACACATCTAACAAGAGAGACACTCTAGTCTGCCGCTCTTTAGACGCACATGCGCGTCCGCGGCATGCCGCGGCGTGGTGCACGCGCAGATCCGCGGATCTCATTATTTCGCAAATTCTTTCGTGAAAAAAATTCGGAGAAAACTGAAAAAGAAGTAAGCTACTTTCGTTGCCGAAGTACTGTCAAACTCGATTTTCTTAGCAGATTCTTTAGATCGTTGCTTGGCAGATCTGTCCGATTTCTGCTGTCGATTTCTTCCAATATTATATGTTCTATGTGGGGGTGCCATAACAAGAAAGCATATTGGGGAACGCATTTGGTACCAATCTTATCTGACAATATGTTGATTTAATTTTCTCTCCAACTGATGCGATAATCTTTTGCTATCTGAGGTAATAATTTTGCAAATTGTATTTTTCTGCGCCTTTAAAATAATTTTTTTTTCGCATGTTTGAATACTTAGAATAAGAAAGTGGGGATTAAAATCTACGTTTCCTGACAAAATCTATATATACAATGTGAAAGCGTCCGACATAAGATTTTGTGTACAATGATAAATTTTTATAATAAATATTTTAATAGTAAAATGATATAAAACGTAACGTAAAATATAGCATATTCTACTTTTGTCGGAAACTTTTTTGTCTTAAACTTAATAGCTCTAAAAAATTCCAGTCGATTGATTAAAATAAGCCACCTCGTATAATACATATGTTACGCGGTAAACACGCGTATGCACGTCAATGCATTCGCGCCCGTGGGTGTTAATGTGTGTATTGTGTATATATACGATTATTAAAATAACTCGGGAAAATTGTTCTCTTACTTTCGTGACGCCAATTTTGTTAAACACCTTGCGCATGTAGCTGCTACGCAGTAGCTAACTTAACTGGTGACTAGAGAACAGGAAAATAAGTTCGTATCACTTCGGGTTGGCATAAGTTCGTATCGATTCGACTCGGCACGGCGCAGGACCGTAACCAAAACATTTAACGTTCGAAATAAATATCTGAGACTTTAGCATTAACTAAAAATAAAATATTTCAAAATTTAAATATGTAAAAATATATACATATAATCACATTTATAAACAAATACATATATATCACATTTTTAAAATAATTTTGTCGTTGCTTTGGCAATATTGTCTGTGGAACGCGTTCTTCAGAGCCCACTGTCTTAATACACCCTTGATGATTAGTTATCTTTCATTATCTTATCTTTATTTTTCATTGAGTTATTTGGAACGTATCTGTATATAATAATTTATAATTTTTTGCACTTTTTTCAATTTTTACGATTCAACAACTGCAAAAGTTGAAAATATATAAAGATCTTTTATAATTCCGCTTTTTTATATTAAATGTTAAAAGAATTCACTATATATAATTTAAATAATAAAAATTTACTTTTGGGTAATACAAAAAAATAAATAATCCATTTGTATAATTTATTATTGATAAATTTAATAATAAATAAATGAATAAAAACGTAAAATACTGAGAAGTTAGGAATTGTGTAAATAGTCGACCTCTGTAGAACATCGCAAGAACTGCGAGCTCGAGAAGCAAACGGTAATTTCATTGTAAAAAGATAAATAAAAAAATTACAATAACAATTTTTTCCTTTTTCGCCAGTAAATATTAAAAAATAATCCAAAATTTAACCGACACAACTGGCCAAAGTTACTTCTTTATTTAAAAAATTACAAATAACAATAGAATAAAACAATAAATCTGTCATATTTTTGCATAAAGAACTTATAAATTAAAAACCGTCTAAAAATCATATTTTTTAAATATGTTGGTTTATATAGACGCTTTTAATTACAAATTTGACAAAAGTATGGATTTACGAGATTTAATAAACATATATAAAGCAACAATGAGCAAATAATATTACATAAAATTAATTGCCACAAAATCGATAAAATCAGAGGAGATTTATAATAAACGTGCGGTATGACGTCCGCGTAGATCGTCATCATATATTAAAATAAACAGTGGTAGAAAACAATCCATGTATTTTAAAAGGCTGCTATAAACAATTTTTCACGATATAGTAATTAAAAAATAAAATAAAAGTTTCCAAATCAGGCGTCTGGTAATTTAGTGAGTACGTTGATAAGGAGTTGATAAAGTAATCTCTAAACCGTTACGCGCGGGGTAAGCGGTTCTTGGAACGCGACACAAATCGGCGAGCTGGTTTTATCAATTTACGTCGGTTTTATCAATTACGTCGGTAAAAGTAAACCGCATAAATAAAACTTGTACAAAGTGTACAGGATATTTTCTACTCGTCTCGTTAAGCGCATTAGCAAATTCTTTTCGTGGCATCCCAATCGCGTTAAAGAGTCTCATTAAGCCGTTCAATCTTTATCGCGAGCGCTTAAATCCCCCGGTTTTAAATTAAAAAGCGTTAAGAAAGGCTTAACCATTTTAAAGTTCAGCTTTTATCTCGCGTCACGCTGATAAAGAAAATTAAGAAACAAATATTACACACACCTAAATATTTTCATGACGCTAATATAAGACTTCATTAATTCATCAAGATTACCAGATAAAATCCTTTAGCTAAAGCAATTGTTGCACATAAGTCACTGATGTGAGATAATTTTGTAAAGTAAATTCTCTCTCTTGCTGCACATATGCTCATGCACATATTTGTAGGCGACACTTTGGGCAAGATATTAAATTAATTTTAATCATTATTTGGAAAAAAACTGTGATACCTATTTCGATAAATGAAAGTAATAACGAAAAGAATGAATATATTGCACAATTTTATTATTAGACTTCAATATTAAAGTCAAACGTTGAAAGTATTTTGATGTGTAATAAGAAAAGGAACTGAAATAGGGATTATAAAAAAAAATAAAAAAATAAAAAAGGAACCAAGATGTTACTAATTTATCATATTCACTTGGCGCAAACCTCCTAATATTGTTTTAGTAATAAAAAATACAAACGGAATACATTTAATACGAATTACACTTGCCGCTTAATTTTACCTTTTTTTTGGAAAAAATAAGTTTTATATGGATCGGGGATTAACTAAGTAAGATGGAGCTTCGCATAATCCAATATGTGTAGGATCCCATGCTCCGCGGATGCGATGTGCAAGCTGGCGCCGCACGCGTGTGGATTGATCTTGGCATTATGCAGCTCGGCTATTTGAGTGCTGCACGCGGCCGCTGGATCGCCACTAGTGCTTAGACTTCCTTTCCAGAATTCATTCCCTGCAGAAAGGATATCATTGTCTTGAAGGTGTTAATAAAGATATATCAAAAAAGTTTCTCCTTATAAATGATGCTGGATTATTGAATAAGGTATTGAAATTCATGTCAGCGTATGAACATTTAGATAGATAAACAATAAAATGAATAACGTTCAAACCTGGTAATGTATTTCCATCCCAAGCGTAAGTTACAACGAGGAGTTTATTCGCGTCGGCTTCGAACAGTCTACTGTGTGGTGCTCTCCGAGCAAAATGTATCTTTATATCTAAAAGTAATATTATTAATGTACAAATTGTTAAGGATATTTGTATTTTCATTTATTTTCCACTAACCACCCAGATAATCGCCGTTTCCCGCGCTGCCGCATTTCTGATGCCCGAAATAAGCGAACATGATATCAGAAACGTATTTAAACTTCTCGTTCATCTTCCTGATAGCGATTTCGAATGTTTTCAGGAAGTAGACTTCCTGATTCTGAAGTTTTTTCCAGACACCTGATGGTAATCGTTATTTAATTAAATATGAATAATTAAGAAGAAACGTATGAGAAATAATTTCGATAATTTATTACAACATTTAAATCATCTTAGCAATGAACGCTTCGCACTAACCGAGTCCAAAACCGACCACGTGCAAGAAAGCGGTTGTGTTTTGTTTCTCGGCGCGGCTGTTCGCCTCGAGTAGTATTATTTCTGCCGAGAGCAAAGTTCTCTTCATGTAATTCTCAATATCGAAGATATTCTGACAGCCTGAAGATATATATCGCTTGTTCTCTTTTGACCTCATGCGCGTCGTGACTTCTTCGTAGAGCGGATGATAATCCTCGCCATAAAATTTGGCCCATAAAACACGCATCCCACGTTTTTCTTCGAGTGTGCCATCCATCGCGGATCCGTATCTATTTTATAGATTGGCTCTTTCAAAAACTCGTATTTGCATAATGCCAAAAAAGAAATCTTATATTATAACGTAGCTTAATTCCATTATTATTCCATGATTATTCCATTTTAAAGCTAAAGAAACATGCAACAAATTTTGTAGAAGTAATGAGCACATTTTATTAATGTCTTTATTATTATATTAATAGTAAGGATTTGAAAAATTAAATATATGACTACGGCAACCAGTGCAATTGAATTTCTTTTCAAATATGTCACTCAACTTTACGTGTTAATACATAATTATTGCGGAAAGTTACCCGTTATCGATATTGTTTTGTTCTGGCGTGATGACAATGTCCTGATACTCCATAAATCTGGGCCTCTGGAATCTTACATAACAGATTAAATGGCACAAATTTAATAATGAAACTTGGTAGCAAATTTTCGACAAATTCTAAAGTCCATAAAGGATAATGATACTAAAAATAAAAAGTGTATTTTATTAAAAATGGCTAGTGTATTTATAATAATTTTAACGGTTTTTCTCAACCGCAAACATTTTTGCGGCTATAAATAACTGTATGCAAAAGAGATCGATAAAAATAGAACACGTATCTGCAAATACGTGCAAATTCCACGACACTTGGCGCTATCTTTTTACCTATTTTCAAAAAGGTTTCTTACGGCATGTAGGTATATAGTCACGGTGCGTTTCATCAACGTTCTACGCGACTTCGTTGCGCGTGAACTAAGGCAAGACGCTACCGCATCTTTTGATTCTTAAAAAAGGCGGGATTAAATAAATGTATAGAACCTTGAGCCTACGACACCTATAATGACCCCTCTGGGTTGGACGACGTCTGGGTCACTGCTCACGATACCTCTGTTATTTCGCGAGCCGTCGTTTATGAACTCCGTATGAGAAGACATCACCATCATTGCCGACAATTTGATCTCGTCGTAGCTCAAGCATTTCGCTAGGACTTATTCATCAGATTTTAAAAACGTTTATTAGGGCATTACAACACATCGAAGGTGATATACGAGAGAAGGTGATATTATCAAACTTATAACTATAACTATTATAACTTATTCTTATAACTATTTTTCTTATAGATTAAATGTTATTATTACCTTATTTATTTTTATTTAATTGTTGTTATTAAAATTATTATTCAATTATTATTTAATTATTAGTTATTTTTTTATAAAATTAATTATTCAATTAGGTCGGCATTACGTACTTACCAATGGTTCCTCCTCATGATCGGTACCGACACTCTCCCATCCATCGAAGCCGGTCTTATTATCAAGTAATTTCCATCGATCTATGGGACCGCAGAAGGTGGCTGCCCTTTTATCCAGCAGGCGATGGATAAATTGAACAAGGCCCATGTCCGCATACATGGCTTTCTCAACAGGACTACCATATAATCGCTTATGTTTCAGCCATCGAGCAATTAAGGGCAACATCGCTTCGTGTATTAGCGGATACACCGAATTTGCGTTTAACTGAAATATGTCAAATGTGTAAATTAGCTAAAATGATTAAACCTCATTAAAAAAAATAAAGAAATATCTCAGACTTCAGTACTTGAGTATAGAATTCCGATCTTTAAGTTACACAAAATGAGCACTAGAAAACTAGATAAGTATATTGACAATCAAATTTTCAAACAATTTCTCTTAATTATTTATTAAATTTAATTTAAGAAAATGATCAAAATAAAAATATTATTTAATTAAGCGTACGTCCCTTTTGTCTATATTGTACTAATCACTCGATCAAGTAACTTGCTAGATTTACGCAAACCTCGATAGTATCCGCGCTGATTCCCCTGTCCTTCAAGGTAGCGCATCTTACGGTGTTAATTGGGAACTTTACAGGGAACTCATTGCTTCGTCTGATTAGCTCCGCCACGCCGATCGGTGGCGGCACGGAGACATCGAGGCACTTCCTGAGCAATTCTTTTGTATCGTCGTCGAAGGGCACGCCGTGAGGCGAGCCCAACGTGTTCTCCCATGAAATCTCCGGCGGATCTTCCATTTGCTGATTCGATTCACCTGCACCTTGTTTGCTCTGCGAAAAACGCGAAGATATGCGAAGTTACAATATGTATAAAAGCACCATTGATGCTTTCAATGGAATTCACGAATTCGACGAGAAAAACACTAGTTTTTTCTAAGAAATGGATTGGTTTATTTCCTTATGCACATGTATATATGAACCGATCAATTTTAATTCTTATGCTTATGTTTATGCGCTATGCAAGTTTGTAAGAGAACGCTGGTTGGTCGCTCTTTAAATACACATGCGCGCCCGTGACGTGTTGCAGTTCCGCGAATTTCATTATTTCACACATTCTTTCGTGAAAGAACCGAAAAGACCGAAAAAGAAGTAAGCTATTTTTGTTGCCAAAGTATTGTCAAACTCGATTCTTTTAGCAGATTCTTTAGATCCGGGTGCCAGGATGCCACAATAGGGAAACATATCGGAGAATGCAGTTGCACGTATTGTGTAACTTTCCTTCAAACTGATGCAATAATTTTTTGCTATCTGAGTTAGTAAGGATTTTGTAAAGTATCTTTAAAATAATATTTTTGCTTAGATACTTTAGAGTATGTAAGAAAGTGGAGATTAAAGGCGTTTTCCGACAAAATTTATACAATGTAAAAGCTTCCGATATAAGATTTTATGTATATGATCAATAATAAGTACAAATACTTTTAATAGTAAAACGATATAAAAAGTGACAAGAAATATAGCACATTATAAATCAAAGTGCTTTTGGATTCATATTTGTATCTTTCTTTAGATTTGAGATAATTACAAAGTTACACATCATAAATATATGCGTATGCATTCGCGCACGCGTGTATGTGTATATAAGATTATAAAAATAACTCATCTGGAAAATGTTATCCTCTTACTTTCGTGACGTTAATTTTATCGAATATCCTGCGCATGTTGTCGCAACGCAGTGTCCAACTGGTGACTGGAGATTCTCTAGTCACCACTTTCCCGTGAAGAACATCAGAAAATTGAGTTCGTATAAGTTCGTAGCGATTCAGCTCGATACAGGTCCGTGACTAAAACATTTGGTATTCGAAAGAAATATCTTACTTCACCATTAACTGAAAATAAATCACAAAATTTAAATATACGGAACAATATATGTATATAATTAATTACATTTATGAATAAATACATATACATCACATTTTTAAATCAATTTTGTTTTTGCTTTGACAATGTTGTCTATGGAACGCGTTTTTTAAAGCCCACTGACTTAACACGCCTTTGACGATTAGTCATCTGCCTATTTTTCATTGAAATGAGTCATTTATTCGGAAGTTATCTGTAATGATTTATAGCTGTGTTCCGCACTTTTTTCAATTTTTATAATTCAACAATTGCAAAAATTGAAAATATTTTCATAAAGATCTTTTAATTCCGCTTTTTTAGAAAATTAAATGTTAAATATTTTAATATAAAACACATAATTCAAATAATAAAAATGTACCTTTGTGCAATATAAAATATAAATAATCCATTTGCATAATTATAAATGAATGAATAAAAACACATTGTCTGCATTCGTTTAATCACATTAAGAGTTATTGGGAATAAGCAAACGCAGGCAAAATGTTTCAAGAAGTTGGGAATTGCGTAAATAGTCGACCTCTGTGGAACATCGCAAGAACTGTGCGCTCGAGAAGCAAACGGTAATTCCATTGTGCAAAGATAAGTAAAAAAATTTACGGATAATAATAAAATAAAATAATAAATTTATAATTTTTTTTGCATAAAAAACTTGTCAATCAAAAATCGTTTAAAAATCATATTTTTAAAACAATTTTATAGATTTAAGAATTTGATACATACACTACTGTTCAAAGTTTTGGAAACACTACCTTCTTAAGAAAAATAACAGTGATGCCAATACTTCTAAATAAAACGTCATATATGAAAAACTTTACTGCGCGTTTTAACTATTGAACACAGTATTATTTGTTTCTATATAAATCATTTTTCAAGGAAAAATTTTATTTAAAGAATTTTATTAGCACTACTGTTGTTTTTCTTTGGAAGGTAGAGCTTCCAAACTTTTGAACAATAGTGTATATAAAGCAACAATGAGCAAATAATATTACACAAAATTAATTGTCACAAAATCGATAAAATCAGTGGAGATTTATAATGAACGTGGTTTATAATGAAGTCAACGTAGATCATCATACATTATAATATACAGTAGCAGAAAACAATCTATGCATCTCAAAAAGCTGCTTATGGATATATCTTTCACAATACAGTAATTGAAAAATAAGATAAAAGTTTCTAAATCTAACGTTTGCTAATTTAGTGACGAAGGGTTGATAAAGTAATCTTTAACCGCGTTACGCGGATAAGCGGTACATCTTGGAACGCAACACTAACCGGCGGGGAACCGGTTTTATCAATTTACATCGTTCGGTAAAAGTAAACCGCATACCTGCACAAAGTGCACAGGATATTCTCTAATCGTATCTAGTTAAGCATATGAGCAATTTCTCTTCGTGGCATCCCAATCGCGTTTAAAGAGTCTCATTAAGCCGCGCGATTTTTTTCGCGCACGTTTAAATCTCTCGGTCTCGAATTAATACTATGTGTTAAGAAAGGCTTAGCCATTTTAAAGTTCAGCTTTATCTCGAGTCACGCTGATAAAGAAAATTAAGAATCAAATATTATGCACGTAATACTTTCATGACGCTGATATACGACTTCATTTACGGTAGAGACGTAAAGCGTGCACTAACGCAAGTATAATCTGCGAAATATGCAAATTATGCTCGTCGGAGATGATCGTAGTGTACGTAAATCGTAAAGTAATAGAAAAGAATATTAAAAATTATCAATTATTTAATTTTGCAAATATCATTAAGAACACTTAAGAGAAAAACCAATTTGTATCTGAATATTCTGGTAATATTTCAAGAAATCGTTTATCGTCCGATACCGTTTAAGTTTTTTCTTTTTTTCCTTTTGTGGTCGACAATGAGACATTGACAGTGTACGAGAGAGAGAGATAGAAAGGAAGGGAGAAAGATAGAGAGAGAAAGAGAGAGAAAGACAAAAAAATATGTTGATAAAACTGAGATGAACGACGAATGGTGAACGTACGGTACGCCGCGTCGTACCGTTTTGGTGGCATAGTCGTTAGTCCCTCTCTCTTGTCATGACTCAGTGCCGGCTTAAAGCAGGTGTTTGAAACAAGATGTCGCGTCGTTGAAGTAAGACGTCATTGCAGAGAAAAACACTCGATAATTTTGTAAATTTAGAAGGCAAAATATCTGTCATTAAAAAGCAACGCGAAACAGCAAATAGAACAGCATATAAATAAATTTTAGATATACATATATGTATATATAGAATAGATGAAAGTGGAATTAAAAAATCGTCTTTAGAAAAATCTAAATTTTTAGATGTATTTAGACCGGTAGGAGTCAGCAAGTGCAGACGTTTATTCGATATTTATAGAGGATACAGTATAATCCATAGACATGTTATTTATAATATATATTCTTTTATTTAACAGAACTAAAGTTTCAACTATCGTTTAGTTTTTTCTCAGCTAAATGTTGACTATTAGTTTATGTATGCATATGTATATATATTTATGACTCGATTTTTTAAGATAAATATTTCTGTATTTGAAAAAAATATATTTTTAGACATCAAAGGGAAAAAAATAGAATTAAGAAAACACAAAGAATGTAGCAAACAATTATCTTAAAACTTATTTATCGATTATTCAAGAGATATGCATATCTTTGATAAATAAAAATATCTATGGAAAAGAAAAAGGAAGAAATTAGAACGTCTCCAATTTAAAATAAATGTATAATCCTCTTTATAAAAGATAATTAATTATTTCCAAAGAAGCTTTCTTCTTCCTGCAAAATTTATCTGTCGCCACGATGTCTCTCTCGCGAGGTCATTGCTAAATATTCTCGGTGCAAGACGCTGGCGCGTCTCTCGGTCTCGATCGGTTTACGCTTACGTAGTATCTCATACTTATATGCAGTACTCTCGTCGAGTAGCGTGACTCGCCGATGTGTACTACCAGCGAGTAACTACGGACCTGAGCTGGTCTCACGGCCGAGGGCCTTTCAACTCGGCCCGTACTTCTCGTACAGTCTCTCGCAAGGTGTGGTTCTCGACGCTGCCGACGGAAGTATGCCGCCGCGAGATCAACAAGTGCCGCGCGAGATCCACGCCCGGCGAACGATCGATTCAGCGCGTCTTCGCTAGTCCTCGTCCAGATTCGATCTTCTCGTCGCGGCGTTTAAAAGCGGCGACACAGGTGCACGGTTTTTTTTCGGAATCTCTCTCCCGTGAGGAATACTTACCAGGACGATCGAGATCCGCTCGAGCGGAAGGACGCGTCCGCGCGTAGCGTCGAAGGACCCCACGATCGAGAGCGGGGCGCGATCGATGGACGACGCCGTCTCGACGTCAACTGGGAATTAGTGCGCGCGTGTTATCGAACCGCCCGGCGCCGGCACACGTGACCTCCTCGAATTTGTTTGGCGCGCGTTACATCGCGGTGAAACGCCGTCCGGTGAAGGCATCTGCATTCGCAATGGAAATGAGGACCGGTGAGTGCTCGCGCTTGGAGTATATAGTCGCGGACACGCGGATTTCAGCCTCGGTGGATACAGTCGATTTCGGTACCACGAGCGATTTCGTGAAAAAATTTATTAAAATTACAAGACTTCCGTAAAAGGAAATAATATTTTTAATTTTAATTAATTTTAATAAAAGCTCCAAGTAAATAATTAATTTTAAGTAACGCTAGAGGGTGTGTGAAACTGCTACTTATAATTTTTGAAAGTTGCTGCGAACAAGCAATGCGAGCGCGAATTTGATTCTTCCTGGGTAATTGACCGGTCGGAATCGAGGAAAAAGCAGGTATGTGACCCGGCTGTTTAACAAGTTATGCTCTCGGGATACTACCTTTTCTAAAAGCATACTGGCGTGTTATCGACAACGACCTTTTCGCAGTACATTTCAATATTGCTAACCAATTGGGTCATGTACCGTTTTCCTTTAATGAGATCAGACCAGTATTAAAACTGTCATCACTTGTCCATATCAGTTCCTATTCTTAAAAATAATGATTCATGGACCATCTAAGGGTTAACGAATTTTCCTGCTAAAACATTTTTTTAATTTTCTGTCTCATGTTTATTGAGATTATGTTCTTTAAAAAATCTTACGATTAAAATAAAAATTTGTTCTACTTTTCTATGCGGAGTCAATTTAAAAAATCACAAGATAATTCACCAAATTAATGTCTAGACGGTAAGAAAATCATGTCTCGATGGTTAAAACATTAAGTGTGGTAGAAGAAGTGTGGTAGAAGAATTAAGTTTTTATGTGTCGAGTCTTTTAAATTTATATATTCTTATACCTAAATATAAAAGTCCTTTTAAAGTATAGCATAACTGTCTAATTAATAATAACTAATATTGACCTGAGACTTCAACGTTCTCTCAGTCAGTATCTGTAGCTATTAAGACATGAATATACATATATCGATTGCATCAATGATTGAACAACTGTATTTTTGGACGATAAAATATTTTGCGCGATAAAATCTTTCGCCCGAACATATTTCGTGGATTAGAAGATGACTTGTGTATAAAAATAAACACAGATTTATTTAAAAATTTGTAAAGAAGCTTGTATGAAATATGCAGAAGAAGTTCAGCTGCTTCCTGTCTATTTTAGAATTCTGAGAATAAACGTGACGATGATTCGAATCTCTCTTCCGAGGTAGAGATTAATTTTGTGATTATAAACAGTTTTATAAATAGTTGTATTACTATTTATCCTCTTTGTTTTCTGTTATATACATATATATATATAAATTGTTATTTTAATGACATAGTTAATTGTTAATTTCTCATTTTAATTTTAGATAACTTTATCTTGAATACATCGTTTTTCCTACAAACAAATAAATAAGTTACTAGCTGAAATATATTATTCCTAATATTTTCTTTTTAGTAAGAATATGTATAAACTAGTCAATAAAAATACTGGAGTTATTTATAGATACTCTGTTTTGAGAGAGAAATGTGACAGATTTCGTTGAATTTTATATATTTCTTTGAACATGACGTTAAAACGTATATATCCGTTATTTTTTTATACGTAAAATGAACGTGGAAGAATTTACCAGTCAGCTTTTCTTTTATCCGGGTCATTGTGTGTCGTGGCCGGTGGGAGCGTGATCCTTCGCAACGATAAGCGGAAGATCGAGTGGATTCGTTAGATCCTAGATCCCTTCGATCGCTCTAGGGTTGATTTCTCCAATCTCGATTAACTTTAATCATGGGGCAATGGTTTTTCTGTGTCTTTTCTTACATACAAGGATATAATCCCGAAAGAGGTACAGAGAGACAATTGAATGACGGGTAAAGTTAATCGACTTTGGAGAAATCGTTCCATTCTTCTTGACGATATATTTTATTACACGGGAACGCTATTTCTTATTCTAGCGCAATACGGATAATTCATACGATGATTCACTGTTGGGTTTTACCGTCCATGAGAATAAGTCATTTTCATTAATTGACTGAATTATTATGAATTATAATAAGATACGAAGTTACATCAATTTACTGTTTCAGTTTAACTCTCAATTACAATTCCAAATAACCGTAGACAGTTTATTTAGTAGACATGTAAGAAAACATTATTCCGTGACAATTTCCGCATTACTAATTTTTTATGTGCTCGTATAATTCGTTGGTGGAATGTAAATGAATAACATACAACTTTGCTTTATTGCTGCATAGAAAAAACATTATTAAAAATTTCAATTTTTCTGTCGTTCAATTTGCGAATAAGCAATTAATTAATAATAAATTGTTTATTAAAAAAGAATATTTCTATAAGTTTTCTATACATATTTTTCCGAAGATATTTTTAAGAAACGTGATGGATTTAAATCTGTTTGTAAAAATAAGCTATTCGATTGTAGATATACAATAAAAAGAATCGGACACGAGAGCAATGTATGTCATGCCCACATATCCATCTTTAGACATTGATTGCTCTAAAGTCTAACCGGTTAACTCAACCTGCACGTAAGACAAAGCGAAACAATCGGAGTAAGATCGATGAGCTGAGGAGAGCGCTGTGCTCATTAAAGGGGAGGCCGTTAGGAATAATTGCGGCGGCGATGAATGGCGTTTCCCTGAATTCTTACTCGGTGGTCCCTGGCTTACGTAACCGATAAAATAATTTGCGGTCCGGGCGTACTGACGCGAGAGTAATGCTCGACGTGGAAATTCTAGGACAGCGGGGCGACGTAACCATGACGATGTGCTCACCAAACACGGAAGACGAGGGCACGATACTTTGTTTGCCTGATGACATTCAGTGCAGTAGAAACTTGCAAGTTGCGCGAATACAATTAAATGTATCTCATTCGAAGAAACATGTCATGAATACCTAGTTACCCGACGACGCGATACACATCCAACTTAAAAGAACTCCGAACTGCATTAGGAATGCCACGTTTTATTACGGCTTGCAAAACACCAGTCTGTTACACAAAAAAAAATTAAACCTATTTTAACATAAATAAAAAAAATAGCTAAACTGGAAACTAATAAATAAAATTAAATAAATAAATAATATATAAAGATATAAGCATATGTGTAAGATATTTCTTTCAATATATTTTTAAAACATTCTATTTTATGCTATTATTTACTTCGTAATACGACAAATATAATAATTTTTTTAAAAGCTTCTCGTATTATGAAATTAAAAGGCAATTAAATTAAGAGGCACTTGAATATTAGGGTGTGTCTGGGTGGATCTGCTTGTGTCCGGTTGATACACATTTATAATTGTTAGTAATTAATTACCTCTAATTTAGTACAACATGTAATTTTTAATAGCTGTCTTATATTATATTATTACTATACTTGTCATATAGTGTTACATATTAGCGCGCTAGCCGGTTTTTTTTTGTACAACATGATGTAATCTTGACATCAAACTGACAGATTAGTAGTAACTTGCTAAGCAAACTAAATGTACGACTACGCGAAAGTGCATCGTGTGAAGATCACATTACATAACAAAAGAGAAATACGCTACTGAGAAGATCGCACTTTGAATATATTGCCCAGACATGTCGCGTAACTTTTTCGTTTTGCAAACGTAGATAACGCAGCGACAATAAAGACAAGAAAAATTTACACGAACGAGGAATACTGATTTTTTTTTAAATCCAAATTACAGAATTATCATTATCATCAATTGTTTCGATACCTACTTTATTTAAATGCGCAGCCATCATAGTTGCTGATAAATAAAGTAGACTTTTTACCTTAAAATACAAGAACTCGCAAGTATCTACATAATGTCTATGAACGACAAACAAAGCACTAAATAATTTTTTGTTTTTTTTTAGAAGAAAATTTTTTAAAATTTACTTTTATTAAGTACGAGCATAATATTGATTTTTTTTTTTAAATAAATTGTGTGATAGCTAATAAACAACTTCAATGTATTTTCTAAGCGTTAAAATGGAAGTGTGGAGTTATAAGATTAACATATTGACACCACATCACAACATATCGATAATAGAAAAGTCGACAATATAAAAAAACGATGATCTTTTTTGTACGCAATAAATTGTTATCGAATCATTTGGATATAGGTATACTCGCGTTGGGAATTTCCTGTGCGCTCACAAAGGACCACGCAGGAAGAAAATGCTGTCATCCTGCGGTAGATCTGTGTGCATGCGAGTTCTGCCTGTCAATGAGTTGTACGTGCCCGCATGTGTATGTACGCGTTTGACGTCGCGGATGAGTCACACACGCATTGTAAACCGCAGAACGAAGCCTTGTGCTCGTTCTCTACTGTACAATGAAATAATGATATATGATAATTCTAGGCACGCACGTGATTATCGCGATCTTAATTCTTCTCCGATCTGTCACATGAAAAACGAGACTCGGACGACTAGATTTTTATGCGTGATATCGTCACGGTTTTTTACAGCTAAAAAAACCAATCGTCCTGATTTCTCGATGTACATGTAACTGGTATTTAGGTGTACATGCCTCGCAGCGGTCGCAGCTGTTTGCAAATTGTGGACTCCGTCTCATTGTCAAAAAAATAAATTCATCCGTAATGTTGATCTTGAACAAATCCGATTTGCCTGAGTTCACTCACGGTTGTTACATTGTCGAGATAATTGTATTTTTTGCAAATGCCTTTCCCAATTATCGATTTTTGTGTCCACGTGTCGTTTATTATGACGTGAATATGGAATAGACAGAGAAGTAAAAAATAAGTAACAGGAGGCCAATATTACGTACTAGTACCTGTAATTGATTTTTACTCGTATCATAAAGACTAAAAAGTTGTTTGTTTAAACCAATAATATTGTTGTGCAAAAAATATAGAAATCTAGAAATTTAGTAATTTCTTTTATATGTTTGTGTAAATAATGACACCCTAAAAATAGGTAAAAAATTGTATATCGTTTTCGCAATATCATGTTATTGTATTTTATTTCATGTTAATATATCTTATTTTTAGACATAGCATTAAAGAAGAATTATGTTATGCGTGTGCGAAAGCTTGTTACAAAGATATACTGTGGAGATTATATTTTAAAATAGTCATCTCTGTTACTATAATAGCTACTGCAGTATTATATAACTAGTAAGCTGATTATACAGCTAGTATAACTGATTATACAGCTAGTATGCTGATTAACTGCGATTCTCCAATCTTTGTTAAGAATCTTCATCTTAAGTTCATCTTGAGAATCTTCCTCTCAGTTATTACGCATCGTTTTAAATCGTCGTTGAAAAGTCAAATTCCTTCATGAATGAACCAAGAGCTATGCACGTGACCGGCCAATCATCCACAATTTCTTGCAATAAATTTACACCAACACATATTGCGGGTGGTCTAATCAGCTAATTCAGAATACGTGTGTCTCTCTGCGCGTACGCGCGCGCGCGCGTGTGTGTCGTTGTTGCAAAAGTGCCAAACAGTGCGGTCAACAGTTATCACAAGTGATCAATTTGCCTCGAATATGCACATTTTACAGCTCATGGACGTTACGCAAAGAATGAATGTTTTATTGCTGACTACCTAACTTCCTAGTAAGATACAATCTTGCAAAAATATGTGCAAAAATATTTGCGGTAATAACACTTTTGCAAAATGCAAATTGCTTGCTTAATACAAAAGAATATTATTTTTTACATTTATTTCATTTTAGATATCCGCTTAATTTTGGGTCTTAAATTTAAGACATTATTATATTACATATTCTTCTTCCTTTGATTATTTCACTTATTAATCAAATTTGTGCAAAATTGAAGTATTATCCTGCTGCATGGAAATTGTAATTTTAGTAATACGAATTTCAACAGCGAATATGTAATGCAAAGCAGTGATTTTAACGCGATGTTGCTTCAACTTCGATACTTATACGAGAGAACGTTGCTGCAGCAGGCATTACCGTGGCTGCGTGGCATTTCAATGGCGAGGGTCAGTCGGCGTTACATAACAGCAGGCATGGGGGAATATTTCAGTATAGTGGTGGGGCGTTTAGGAATGCGTGAACTAAGAATCTCGTAAGGAGTAAAACTCCCAAAGGGTGAAAGTCAGTTCTTTCAGGCGTGGGCCGTGCACAAGCGAGCGCGCTCGTTTCTTCGAGTCATTCACTTCTCTCGCGCCTCCACTTGGTCGCTCATTAGTGTCTCAATAACAACTCTTATTATCTCGATCCATTCTAATACTTCACATGATTGAACAATTAACAATTAACACCCTAACGTAAAAAAAGAAAAAATTGTAGATGGTTTTCACTTATATAAGCTTCTCTAGTTTATCCGATCAATTTTATCGTTACAATGCTATATATCAGAAGTATTCGAGAGATACACAGTTCTCTTTTCGTACCTCTAGATATAAAATAGATATATCTTTTGTATGATAAGGGAAATGAAGAAAGAATTAATAAATATATCTAAATAATTAAGATTGTAACTCTGATTATGGATAATATTGGAATCTAGTTCTATTATTGTGAGATCACTGTACCAACACGTAGGTGCAAAGGAAATGTTAAAAGACATATAGATTGAACATCCTTGCAGGTCGCGACTTGATTTTATTTGAATAAAATTATACGATCATACATAAATAAAACTAGACGAGAGTCATTATTAAGTCATCATTAAGTCTTCACTTTCTGATTGTTCAGCAATTACTGATGCAAATGCGGTTGTTGAAATTGAAATTTACACATGAGATTACATGCAAGCAAGGGAATAAGACGTGCATTATGGATAAGCGACAGCGAATTGCTACCAGATGCACATTTCTGTTTACGTCATACCGGATAAATTCAACATCGACGTGAACGGAGAACATTAAACACACCGCGTATTGTCTGCATTTGTGTTTAAATAAATGTGCTCTTTTATTCAGATATTTCCCGATTGTACCGTTATTTCTCTCGAGAGAATAATCGTATTGTAATTCGCTTTTTCCCGTTTGTTATGGCTATACATCAAAGTTAACTGCAAATCTAATGCCAACAATTTAAATTGTTAAGTAGCCATAAATAACTATTAAGTAATAGTTAACTAACAATGTAAAAAAGTGTTTATACATAAATATTATATTAGTGTAAAACGTTAAAAAAAAAAGACTAACTGTCTTCTTAATAACAAATTTTTCAAATAATTTAAAATCAACTTTAATTAAAAAAAAAAAATTATATATCCCAAATAACATTAATTTTGGCAATATAAGAGCCAGGTAATTAATTCGCTATAGAAGGGTCGAAACGTATACGCCAATCTTATTTGAATGTTCTAGATTTTAATAAATTATAACAAATATAGCGCACTAATTACCACGCCATTGTAAAATTTGTTAATGTTATTTGATTTTATTCAAGAGAGCCTTTATATATTTTTATTTATTGGTGTTATGTATGTGTACAAAAATATCATGTTTTTGTGTTTATTCTCTAACTGTTTTATGGGACCCGTTTTCCGTTACAGAAATGCTCAAGACGTTGCTGTTTCTGGTCATCGGCTTGCTCGTAAAGGTACTGGGATTACCCAGTGGGGCACCGTCGCAGACATGCTTCGATCTAATGCCACGTCATCCCGGTAGTTCCCTGCAATCGTCCTACCCACCTTATCAGGTACTACCCGCAGCGGGACAAAACAGGGTCCGCCTGATCCTTGGAAGTCCCGAAGGTCTCGCATACGAGGGCTTCATGATCCTCGCTAGGGACATCGACACCGGCGAATATGTGGGAGAATTCGCAAACTTGCCCGATTTCGCAAGAATCGTGGAATGCACTCAAGGTGTAAAGGTACTCTCTGCACTATATCATTTTAATCTTCCTTTTCTATAATGTAGTTATATTTTAAATCAAACCAAAATAAAAGATTTGAATACATTTAAAAACAATGTTTATGAACATTAAATAATCGAAAAGTGAAATGCAAAAGTATTTTAATTTACATTTTAGAATTAGAATTAATACATATTTTACCTTTTCGAGTTTTGGATAAATCCTTTCAAGTTCTTAAAGAGTTGAAGACCTCGAAGAAGAAAATTAATTGTTGCATTAAATTTTTCAAATTTGTTATTTCTAAATATTACGACAACAGTAACAATTATTATTCTTAACTATATTCTGTGACGTTAGTACTACGGTTTCGCAATTCCTGGTAATATGATGTATTGAAGCGTTCTATTTTTATGCAACAAACTTTTCTTATCTGAGTTTCTTCAAGGTTGCGAGGGTGTTTCGTAAACGTAAATGATGTGCAATTTTTTATCGAAAAAAACTTTTCCTATTTCTTGTGTCTAGAATGGCGTGACTCATACGAATACTGAGAAGAAACACAATCTTGAATTCGACTGGGAAGCTCCGGTTGATTACGAAGGTACCATCATCTTCAAGTAAGTATCGTTATGTACGATATTTTAATGACAAACACGCAAGGATTTCCTAACGAAGAATTTCATTGAATTAAGCGAATGCCGAATGAGTTTTTCCGCGCAGAAGAATTTCTTGATGTAGTATAAAAGTAAATTCATTGACGATTTCTAAAACATCTCATATTTGAAAAATTAATGTAAATTCAGTATATCTGTCATTCAACTTGTAATTTATAAAAACAAAACAATACAAACAAACAAACAAACAAACAATACCAAAGATTTCTTTCTCAAGAGAATTATCATAGGTTTACTTTACTCTATGTGGAATTAATTAATATAAATATAACAAAATTTATTTATCAGTTTCGAATATTTGTTGCCGCGTCAAGAACCGCGTCAAGACCGTAAGAGTTAGTTATTTCCGCGAGGTTGCGAAATTGCGAAGACCTCTTCTTCTGAATACCTTATAAACTTTAGAACAAAAACATCAGCGTCTGGAATCGGCTTAATTGTTGAGTCATGATTTCAGCGTCTGATCTCAACCGTTGTGTGCACGCACATGTACCTACACAGAGATCCACACGCATACACGTGGAGGTGCAGCATATCACACTTATGAATCACAATTAGGTATTACCGTACGCGCGGATGCGGCTCGTGCTTGGAATTCAACGCGCTCGTGCGGGCATAACGGTGCGAGAAACGCGCCAAACATTCCTTATAAACTTTTCCTCGTAATAATCGATGCCGGAGTTACTGACGCATGTTTAATAGAACGCGCAGCTGCGACCCTCTGTTAAAACTTCGTAACTTATTTCGAGGGTTATTTTGTTTTTACGGTACCGTTTGGGATTTCCTCGCTTTTGTATTCTGATATTTATATTTCGCCGCGACCGGTACTAACGAAAAAGCGATAAAGAGAATTTATGTGGAAATACTTTTAACACGTTTAACGTCATAGTTTGCAGTGAAGTTCGATGTACTCTAATAGTCCTGCATGAATAGAGACTCCCACTATTAATAAACGTCAAGAGTTTCATAATCTTGTTGTATAACGTTAGCAACTTCTGCGTAAGAGAAATGAGATTTAAAAAGATTAAAAATTGATTTTATATATAACGTTATGTATTTCTAATTTCCAAACTCGGGGATTGGCTTTATAATTATTAAGTTTGTTTTCATGTTTTGTTATTTCTGGTCATCCATTTTAATTTTCATGAGGGACAATCGGAAATTAGAAAAAATGAGTCTCTTACTAGAAGATATAATAAAACTTTTATTAAGATATATTACGGGGTATCCTATATCACATATCGAGCATTTAGTACTCTGATATATTCCAGAGTATGTAGCAAATAAAAGAAAGCGCAGAAATTTAAACACCATTTCTTGAAAGTTAGATGTTTAGTTTCAGAAAAATAAATTTCTCCCAATTTGCTTTAAATCGCGTGCAATTATTTTGTGTAATTAACTCATTTTCACTCAAAGGTGCAAAAAACGTATAGCACGTTTCGTATTTTAATAAAATTTCTTTTAATAAATATCGGAATTTCTCAGAATAAATATTACTGATGTGTACGTTAATTATACGTACATTTTTTACTCGTAATTTCGAGCTTTAGAATCCAAAATCATTTCAAAGTTTTTGACACTGAATTAAATTATGAATTAAGATTTAACTCTTTCCGTATTATATAAACGTGAAATTACAGTCGTACAATTTTGAAAAAATTAATGATTTTAAAAAATTAATTAAAAATGAGTAAAAATGTGTGTGAAATGGTTGTGTACATGTATAATATAAAAATACAAAATATATCATTTTTTGTCATAATACCTACATATCATGAAAATGTGACTACAATATTGGTTTTGTATACCCTAAAACAATTTTCTGCTATTTTCGTTGATTTCACTTTATATTTGATTCGTCGACCTCTGTTTCTTCCGTAGCTCCACCTTCGCTCAGGATTACAGCACGTACTGGGTCGGCGTGGAGTCGCCCAGAGTCACCGTTGACAAGCGGTCCATCAGGGTATCGACCCCACCTACACCCGTCACTACCTTCAGGACCACCACGCCGCCCTACTACAGCCACACCGTCAGTTACGCGGTGAGTATTATATTTCCTGTCGCGCGCGCCGTCACCATTATAAGGTAAATGCGCGTGGTGGTATTACAGCGTGTTAAACGATGTAAGCGGCCTGTAAGTCCTGATAGGTGTGGCTTTGCGAATATTGCTCGTAGGATGCATGCCAGCCGACCCAGACGCCGAGTACAGAGAATTCTCGTTAACTGCATTCAAAGAGCTTACTCAGCTTGTGCTCGTTACATACAGAATATTCCAAAATCCATCCAGAACGCCATTCTCACTTATTCTTTTTTGTTTTTTTCGCTATTCTACCTGATATCGACTGCTCCTTCTTCCGAAAATATCGAGGCATGTATAATTTTGGAGTTATTAACGATAAAAAATAAAGCACTCTCCGCAATGCTTCATCGAGGTAATAGATGAAAATATTGGAATTTTCATTTAAAAATAGTTCAAGTAAACTTCAATTTCAATTTGAAATTTAGTTATAAAAATAGCTAATATCACAAGATTCTTTCTACAAGGAAATATTGATGCAAAATTTATTGGAGCGTTTCGCTTCATTGAAATTTGATTCGCTTATTTCGAAGCACTCCTGTATCCTGAGTAGTATCTTGAAAAATATTCAAGAGAATACGTATTACATAGAAAGATGTTTGCTTGTTAATCTTCTACGAAGAAATTTATTAAAATTTTCTTGAAAAATAATAACTTGCTTTGAATGAATTGTTTCGTTATATTATGGTCAAACGGATTAAAACGAGCGCCGAATTAAAATACATTTCAATTCTCATTCGGACGGATGGGTTATAATGATACTCTAGTTAATGAAAATTTTCAGCTCCAAGTGTATTATATTCAAAAGATAAATAAGTAATTGTATCCGCCGTTAATGTCGAATGAGAAATGAAATAGCACACTCATAAATCTGCATTTTACAGTTTTGTGGAATTCAATTTTCAACATTCAATTAAAATATGCTTATATTCTCACATCTACGAGCGACGAACATCATTTACAACGTAAAATGTATAATTAATTAAAGTAGAGTGTGCTTTTTAATGCAAATTCTATTAAAAGTCAAAAATTAAGCGATTCAATATCATTCTCTTTCCGTTTTTATCATTTATATGCGCACAAAAGTTTCAAAGGTTTCAATTAATACGATAAAAAGTATTTCTCCTCGTTAATTTTCATTTTTCGTATCACATACCTAATACGTCGGTCTATGCTATATCGTAGAAAGTAAAAAATTTGAGAGGCGAATATAGCGGCGCGTGACGCACGCGGATGCATGAATTATGCATCTCTACGTATGTACATGCACGGCCCTTAAACCGTGTACAACAAACGTATAACACGCGACCGCGACCAACGTTCTGGAATTTATGCTTGATGTACTTTCACCATTCACTTCCGCGGCCGTTCGCGATTTCGTGTCGTGGATTTTTTATAACTCGCTATTTGTTTCCCACGGATTTGATCTTTCGCTCGAGGATCGCCAAGTAGAACAGTTGAGGATCTATCGGACGCCGTTAATAAAACGAATGGAAACTCTGAATTTTAGATAGAAAGAGAGAGAAAGATAGAAAAAGGAAAGGTTGCGTTAAGCATCTTAAGCAACATAGCTTACAAGTGCATTATATTTTTCAAAATTCTTCCCTGTAATGCGGAAAGTTCTATAAACCCTGCATCGCGGTTGCATACAGTTCACTAGATTCACTGCAGTTTATTTTTTTCCGTTGTATTTTGTTTAATTTCAAAAATTATATATATTCCTTCATCTTATAATAAAATGAGATAATAAATATAGAAATACAGGGTGTCTCTGAATTCAGTGCCAAAACTGGTACGGCGGCTTTAGCACATGAAAACAAGTCGAAATGTCTAATAAGCATATTATATGCCCGAATCTGAACGCGGTTTCGGAGTTATATTAGAGTATTGCAGTTGATCTCGTAAGAAAACATAAATTGAAATAAATGTTGTTTAATGTTCTTTATTTTGTTTAAAGCTTTATAAAAGGTGCTCAAAAATTCCTCCGTCGACTTTAACATTATACTTTCTAGGACGAATTAATAAATTGTTTCGAGCTTCTTGACAAATGTTTGGAGTTCCGTGAATGACATCGGCAGCATTAAAGGATTATCCTACTTTGACCAGTCTGAAAAGTGAACACTGTGTGAAAAGGTCGAACATTTTCGACTTGTTTTCATGTGCTAAAGCCGCTGTACCAGTTGTGGTACTGAGTTCAGGGACACTCTGTATATAAACATTTTTTTTAAGAAGCAGTAAACTTAAATATTTAAGTCTTTTGTATAAAAAAATGCTTAATGATATTAAAAAAAAAAGGAAAAAAATGTTACAGGAGGTGCGATCACAGTGCAGGGTTAATCCTTAATATATGAAATAGAAATTTATAAAAAACCTGAGAGAGAAATCTCTGAGAGAAACTTGAGAGAAATCTTACCAGAGTCTATGCAGTATTTTTAAAAAACATAGGAAAAAATCTTCAAATTAATACCAAATCTTCAAATTTAAGTCATTACAATTATCATCAATTTTTCTTTTATTTTATTTTTTATAAAATTTATTGAACTTAACAATTTCAAATCCCGGATATAACTCGTAATACTTGCATTTAGGTATATATTACACAAACTTTGCGCATTGTATAAATACCATAATATGTAGAATCCATTTGTAGTTTACAGATCTTTGGAAATGAGATGATCAGGCGAAAGAGCTTCTTCTGCAATTTCTATAAATTGTCAGGCTTCTCGACACAAAACTTCGCCATTCAGAATCTCTCGATCGCTGTTGCGAAAACGCTTTTCCGTTGAAAATGAATTGAGAATATACTTTACCGTAGAAAATGAATTGCTTTTTGACTTAGTTAAACAATACGTACGACAGATTCATTGAATAATTACATCCTGCCGTGCGGACCAAGTGGCCTTTCCTTGAAAACGGTGCTCGATCGTTCATGATAAAAAGCGTAAAAGTACACCAAAGAGCGGTAATGGCGAACGAGGCCGCCGGAGCGTAAACGCACGATTTCGTAGAGCGTATCTAAGTTGAAGGCTGGTCGTCAAACTTCTCTTTCTCTCGCCGCAGATTTCCTTTTCGTTCAAAGCTCTCCGAGCTGCGCTCCCGCGAATTGTTGCGCACGATTTACTCTATAAGGTCTCCTTTATTATGATTTCTTGCTGATTCATACATAGCTCAACTTTATTAGAGACAATTGCATTAAATATTTATTTAGGTATTAAATATGTATCCAGATAATTATGTATTATCTGGATATTATTTATACAGTAATTTATAATTCGAAATGTCATAATTTCATAGATATTTATATAGTATGTGCAATATTTAATTAAGATATTTTGTAAATATCTGTTGTCTTGGAATTCTGAGACAAATACGAAAATATTTATTTTATTTTTATCAGTATATATAGAAATATTTGTTTTTTGTTATAAATTGAATAAAAGATAATATAAAAGGTAATATGCAAAATATATTAATCATATAACATAATTATTATACAATAATTATTCTACTTATCATTGTATAATTATTCGAGTACTGTTCAGTAATATCCTATTCAAAATTTGCAAAATGTTATATTGTTTCTATTTATTTTTTTATGCACTTTTTTGTTTATGGTATCTAGATTTCACAGAGATGTAGGTTGTGCTAACCATTGTATTATGAAATAAATGTGTGTTCTTAATCTTACGACAAGAGTAATCCTACGCACAAACGTTTAATATTCACATCGTTGTCATAACCGTGGATATGCTTGCGTCATAGACAAGTGTTAATGCAACGCGCGCGATAATTTTAATTCCATACTATACAGATACGCTCTACGTATACAGTATCATCACGTTTCGTTTGTACCTAATAATACAGAGCTCAATATTTGTCTCTTATTGAAAGTTACATAAACACTTATAATTACTAGAGTAATATTACTTTCAATTTTTCCAAAGGCAACTAATAATTTCAACAATTATTTTTCATGTAAATTACATTTTATGTTTATAATAAAGTTTATTCTCTCTTCAGAATTTTAATTATTTAAGTGAGAATAATAGAAACTTTAGTCATCTTTCTTGTATATTTTATAGTTTTACAATTTAATATATTCTGTTCCGTATATATAAATTTAATCTGTATTTTCTCTCGAGATTTTGTTATATATCTTATGTGTTCAACGAGAGAGACCATTTCACGATATATAACACTTTAAATAACCTTTCCTACATGGCTTGTTTAACGGTGATAGAGAATGTCTTCCTCCCGATATCGAAGTTAAACGCTTCCAAGATAATGCGTAAGCGACTCTCCCGAGCGACTTCTCCCGATGATCGATACTTGTATCCGAAACCCCTTTATCCGTACTTCACTCATTTATCCGTCGTGCCGTGGCACGATTTCAAATCAAACGACGGAAGAACGTTGTGCAATCTCTCCGCAACCGCGTTGTTCCGCACGAGATACCATCTCGCGAATGACATTCCCGCCTGTAAATTCCCCGCGTCATTCCCAGGTGTGTGTTCTCGTTGCAGACGAAGGATGAGGTGGACCCGTTCTACACGGGCTGCCACACCACGAAGAACTGCTTCGGCGCGCCCGCGGGCTGCATAAAAACCAAGGACTGCATCGCCGCGGTGGCCGTGATCGTGCAGGGCGACGAATATCATTTCGAGATGCAGGCGCGGGGGGATGCCAAATACGTCGCTGTCGGCCTGTCCGACGATAAGAATATGGTAATTGCGCGACGCCGCGCGCGCTCGCAAGTACCCGCGCGCAGCTTCTTCTCAAACTCTCGTGCGATTTAAGCGGAAACTTGCATAATCTCCGCAAAAGTATTTTATATTAAGTGTGTGAAGTTACTTCTCGCTGCCGTTTTTTTGCCGGGCTCTTCTCGAGATTTCTATTATCTCGCTGCAATATTTGTCTGCGCCTTTCAGTACCTTTCTTCGCCGTAATTACTTTTGAAAAAAAGAAAAAAAAAATTACTGAAATTTTGCGGATTTCGAAAACTGTTATATCCGTTTTTTTAAAAGATGTTTAAATACAGTCAGCGCACAATAAGTATATCTTGGATGATAGTTAAATAATTTTTACGTATTTTAATCCTTAATTAATTAATGCACGTTTAAATTTTCATTACGCAGACGCGACAGGATTTCTTTGTCGCGCAGGATAGTTTATTGAACGTCGTCGGACGTGTAATATTTACTTGGCAATTAAAATCGTTTTCAAACTTAATGCGACGTATTTGCAATTAATTACGCGAGTAATTACGGGATCAACAACCAAGTGGTAATGATTATAATACACGAAATGGTAAACGCAGGGTGAAGACAGCGTAGTCGAGTGCACGAACGAGAATGGCGAAATTGCGTTACACACGTCTTGGAATTCCGGGAAGCGGAATACGCGCTATACGATGGTGAGTATCGTTTACTGTGCCGCACTGCCCTCCTCCGACTATAGGTGCACCGTTGTACTAATTAATTCGCCCTGTTCTCTGTCGCGCGCGGGCAACGAGTCTGGCCCATTAAATCCCAATTATTGTGCTAGCCAGTAGCCGGCGGTGTCGCTTCCACTACGATAATGCAGTAAATCTTTGAACCCTACAAATAATTACGAGGCTTGTATAAGGGGCACTCGCTATAAGCTCTCTCATTAACAGTCTGATCTTAACGGCGCGGCGCGTCGTCCATCGGAAATAGCATATTAATATACTAGTATCTAATTTAACAGGATTAACAAAATTTAAATTTAAAGTTTCATTAATTTCGCGAAATTTAATGTCGTTATTTAAATGCGTTTAGTCAATTTTCTCGCTAAGACAGACTCGATTGTAAACTGATGAAAGAATGTTCCCGCGGAGTATGGTGATTCATTTAAGAATCATTTAAGTGTATATTGTGTCATCGTGAATTATTCCGACTTCGTTCTCGAGATTTGCGTCTAGTTGTCGACCTTGCTTTATTCGTGATGCGTGTCCACAGTCGGAAGGCGCGGTCGAGCTGGAGACCGCCTCGATCAAAAATGACAAGATATACTGCAAGTTTCGACGGGAAAAGCTCACCAACATTCAGGAACGTACGTATGACCTTGTCAACACTCCGTACCATCTCCTCGTGGCCGCCGGCAAAGATCTGAGATGTACGTATAAGTCGAATACACAATTACATGGAATACACAATTTTAGCGTTATTAAAATTTACCGGGAGATTGTAATGTTATACTAATTTAGTAATTACTGTATCGGGGAGACAGGTTTTGTGACTTTTAATAACCGCGGTAATGCCAGATTTATCACATAACAATTTGCCGTCGCACTTCTCTAAATAAAGAGAAAAGAAACCTTTGGCGAGACTTCGCAAAGTTCTCTTCCCGTGTATTTTCGCCGAGAGCAAAAAGTGTGCAAGAACTTTACGACTTTCTCGTCGCAGGTTGCGATAACTGCAAATTTGATAGCTTCCTCATGTTTCTGCTCGATCGAACAGGAACATGAATGAAATGCGATTCAGGCAGGTCGTTTTCTGACACTTCTTATTGGCGCGACGATTATTGAATTGATTAAAAGATAGCGTTATACAACAATATCTGCGCGAGATACGGGAAGTTTGCTTTCTACTTTTATGCGAGTGATTTACAAATATCGCGTTGCTCTTTTTTTTTGTAGCAAACGGCGTTGACTTTCACAATCTCGCCTATCTTGGGACCAGCACCTCGAAGAGATTGTCTGACGTTGGGGAATTGACCGCAGCCACTGACCTACTAATTCGTCTTCATGGCGCGCTTATGCTGGCATCGTGGATCGGCACAGCCTCCATCGGGATGCTGCTCGCGAGATATTATAGACAGACCTGGGTCAACTCCCAGTTGTGTGGAAAGGATCATTGGTTCGCTGTAAGTGAGGAATTTTCAGACAATTCGCGCGGATATTCCATTTAACGTCACTTCCCGTACTCTCTCAAAATTATACAATGCTTTTCTATTCATTCTCGTTGAATATCGCAGTTATAAAGCGTAAAATAAGAATGCTTTATTAATTAACCTAATTAACTCCTGCATTTCATCACAATCTGCTAATTTCGTAAAAAAAATAATTGTCTCGTTAAATAAATTCACATAAACTTTTTATTTTATGAGTAAATTATTTAAAATTTTAATATATAATACACTTAATTATTTTATTTAGCACGCGCATTCAATTTTAAATCACTATCTCGCTATCATTTATTAACAGATTAGAAACCTCGTCAGTTTAATTAATTCATTTTTATTGGAGAGAAAAAACTATTTTTTTTATTTCAGATATATAAATTAAATTACAAATAAAATTTAATAATAAAATAATTTACAAAGATTGCATATTATGTTGTTTATATTACATATGTTGTATTATACCAATATAGATATATATTATATATATTGTTGTTTATTTTGAATATTAATTTTTTTATGTTATATTTTATTTATTTTAGAATTTTACAATAATAATAAGTCGTGCAATTAAGAGGTGAACAATTATTATGTTATTTTTTTACTCTTATCACGTTTTATTGTAATACTCTCTGCGCGGCATAATTAACTTTACATCCTTAGCATCGTTAATGAAATACTAGAACTCTTCGTAATGACATTCTTCGTTCAAAGTGTATGTCATTAACGTTCAAATCGTGTAAAAAGAAAGCGTTCTACGTCGCGTGTCTTTCTTTATAATAAAGGCTTATCAATTTTTTCCCCAAGTGGCACAGGTTCTTCATGGTACTCACGTGGTCGATGACGATCGCAGCCTTCGTGCTAATATTCGTGGAATTGGGCACGTGGAGTTCCGAGACGATACACGCTTCGGTCGGCCTGGCGACCACGATTCTATGCTTCATCCAGCCTTTCATGGCAGCTATGAGACCACATCCTGGCGCACCACGAAGAGCCCTTTTTAATTGGGCTCACTGGTTCGTCGGTAACGTGGCAAAGATATGCGCTTGTAAGTTTATGAATATAGCAGTAAATGAACTTTGATTTTCAGTATTATGTTTTTCGATATTGCATTTTCTTCATTTATTTGTTATTTAAAGAGTTTTCTTCTTTAAAGTTTTAAACTTTTTACTCTTGTAGTTTCTTTACGTCAAAAAATTATTATAGTAATAAACAGAAGGAAACTTTTGTTCACTTTAATCTCATATTATTTAGTATGATGGTAAAAGATAACTTAATATATTAGATATCAATTTTTTCAAATATCTATGAGACAAATTAATATTTTAGAATTAATTTCTCGTAAAAATTTCTTTTAGTAATCGCGCTTTTCTTCGCGGTACGACTGAACAAGGCTAAACTTCCGGATTGGGTCGATTGGATCCTCACAGCATACGTGGTCTTCCATGTTTTAACTCACCTCATTCTCACAGTAAGGATTTTTTATTTGCAAAGTTCATGCAAAAAAACTAAAAATCTCGAGAAATTTGCGAGAAAATCGCGAATAAATGTAATCGAGCAATTTATTAATGCAAACGTACACAAAAACCACAATTTTGATATCAATATTGAACGATCAATAATATCAGTTATTTTATATCATTTTCACGTAAAAAATGGAAATCACCTAAAAATTGAATTTTGTCTTAGAAAAAAGTATCTTAGGAAAGAACAAGTAATCTGATATTTAACGAAATGTATGTCAATGTCAAATAACAATCACTCGAGACTTATAATTCCGATTCTGGTTGTATTTGTGACACTTTTGCTTCTATTGCAGTTCCTTGGATGTGCTTCTGACAGACAAGCCAGTCAGAGAGTGAATTCATTCCCAATGAAAGACATGCATTCTCGCGGATCAATGGTGCATCCAGATGCGAGACGAGACGCTCCAGTAAGATTTTCTAAAATAAGAGTGACATGATCGAGCCCCGTCTTTTAATGTGTGTCAATCCGCGCCGTGAGACATTTATAAAATTGGAAATGAGATACAGATAGACGAAAGAAATAGTACTGTTAACGATAGTTGCATTTTTCAATATATATTCTTTATAAATGTTGTAAAGTTCAACAATAATAATCGTAAAATCCGCATTTTTTTTTACAACATATAATGAAAAGCATATTCCACGCGTTAAAAATGATTAGTCGATCGATATTTTACAATTGCATAAATGCACATATTTTTATAAATAAAATACTCACATTATATTGCACTGAGAGAAATAAAATCGTTCGAAAATTAAAAAACGGGTAATCCGATAACTTTCAATCGGAATTATAATAAGCCGATCAAGGCCAAAACAATGTCCGATTAATGATATCCAGATATCGGACATTATTTTGGCCTTGATAGGCTTTTTGTAATTCCGATTGAAAGTTATCGGATTTAATCCGTTTGTTAATTTTCGAACGATTTAAACCTGGATTTTTCTCTCAGTGTGGTTTTGATTAAAACAATCGAAAATAGTAAGAAAATAGTAAGAAAATTCGAAGGGATTTGTATAGATATAAATATCTTGTGTCTTTCGGATAAATTTGCGATAAGTTATGCAAATCAATGCTGAGGGACGGTATCGCGTCGAAAAATATTAATTCAGTGCACAAACAGATATCAGTGCGCAAACAAAGTCTAATTTTGAATATTTTCCCCGACAGCACTCCGGTATGCGGAAGTTCATTTTCGGTGTGTACTTTGTGGTTATCGTCGCGTTCGCCGCAGTCCTCATAGTGATCACCGTGCTGGCACCCATCGAGGAAACGTGGGCCACCTTCACCAACACTATCTCGAATTACTAAGGCCGCTAATCAACGCCATGGAAATATTCGTCACCACCGCGATAGTCGAGCGGAGGATTCCGTCCGAATGGGGAACGTCGCAGCCGTCGCGTCGCAGTGATGATATATTCCCGGCGCGACTTTCTGTATGCAAATTAACACGAGGAACATGTATAAATCCTATTCGTGTGAAGATGCAAATCGCGCCACTACAATGTGCGACGACGAAGATATCACTGACGATTGTTTTTATACTCTTTTTCTAGGTTTCCCTGGAAAATTCGCGAATCTCCATTTTAATTATGTATCAATATATCATAATTAAAGTACGTTTCTGTATATATAACATTTTTTAACTTACTTGGAAGATATTAAGATTAATACTTACATTAAGTATTCATTATTGCTTCATTATTATTAAACGAATATTCTGAGACTATACACAGAGTTTTTACTGTTTTACTGTTAATATCCTGGTAAACTTGATTCTAACATTTTTTGTAGAAAACTGCCATTAGTCCAACTTATAGCGTATTTAAAAAAAAAAAAATTGTATTTTTTAAAATTTTAGGATTTTATCGTATAAAGATTATTTTTAGACACCAGAGTTGCCTGATATTTTGTATCTTTCTATGGATAATGCTAACGTAGGTATACTACATCTCTGAAAGCAATGAGCATAATTAATATTACTATACGTAAATGCGTAACATAACCCTCTTACAATGGACGCATCGAAACCTGTTTGTATAATAATTATAATAACATCCGTTCTAAATTCAAAAAAGTCATTTGCGATATATTGTAATAATTTTTATATTTACAGAAAACATAACTTTCCTATATACATATACAATAATCTTCATTAACTCATGATTATACTTGACAATAACACAATGAACGTAAAAATATTATATAAATAAATTTATTTTGCAAAAATATTATAAACTCAAAAAAACTCATCAGTTTACGTAAATAGTTATATCGATATATATTAAGAGAAACAAAACTATTTTTGAAAGTTTAGAAGGTAAAAATATTATAATACGTTTATATTTATATTTATATTACAGTAAGATTAATATGAATTAAAGAGTAAGAATATGATAATCGATTTCATCGATTATTTCGCGCGAATATTAATCATTAAAATTTTGCAGTTCAATCTTTTTTTTAAGAGCGCTTATTCCAAGAAATCATTTTTATGTTTCTTTTAATCTTAATGCAAATTTAATCCTTATTTTTTTTTGAAAATGGTGCTTTTTTATTATCTTACATAATACAGTATTAGTTTTTCAAATAATTTTAAATTTTGCAAATTTTTATACTTATTGCGTCGCGTCGCCTCTGTGACCGATTGAGATCGGCAATGCCAATAGTACATAACATTGTTAACCTTATTGATTGTTAATAAATATATACATTTACATACGTATACATGGACGATTCAATGGCCATAAGATGGATTACGGTCAAGTTTATTATGTTCCGGAAGTAAATTGATATCCTCGCAATACATAAAGTGTTGAAAAGCACATAACATAATAGAGTTGCGAAGTGTGCAAAATTTGTTTAGCATTTTATAATTACTAAACAAATTTTCGTCTTAGTAGCTTATTAGTGTAGCTAATTATTTTTAGATGCAGCTAAAATTATTTTTAGATATACTAATTACTAATTAACTCCTTTTTTAACTAACAGTGTATCGTAATGAAATACAAATGTAGCGTATTTCTTAATACATATGTATATGTATTGAATAATACATTATATTGTTATCAAAATCGAGTTATCACAATACATACTTGCGGAATAAAATAAAGATGATATTTATGTTAAAGAAATAAATGTTTAATAATGAAATTAATAACATGCAATAAACTAAACGGACTTGCAATAGATTTGCGTAGCAAACAGGTCCGAGACCGGCTCCCTCCTCCTGCGTTGTTTATTCGTTAGCTCAGGGATATTTATTCACTGCCTCAGAGATGATTGGGGATAGTAAAACTATGAGCTTTCTCGCGTTATTGATTTTTGATGCCGATACAACGGTTGATATGACACACCGCATACACCACAGAACCTTTTAGCTATATCACAAACTGCATTGCAAACATTGCAAATACTATTTAGAGAAGTAACAAAATGCAAAATTTAAACAAGATGGTAGTAATAACGCTAAAATCGTAAAAGTACTGTAAAAAAATATTTAAAAAGTACAATATTGATGGAAAGCGGCAAACTAGGAAAATATCGTAAATGCAGATATCGCAATGTTATCCAATAATGATGTATGACACAATATACTTGTAATATTTGCAATCTGGCGACAATATATCTGTTTATTTTTTTGTAATCTCTCTGTTTTCTGTGCCACATGAGATGGTACATCGATAATTTAATAAACTATTAAATGAAATTGTTATCTTATTGAGTGAGTCCCGTTGTGAGACTTTCGCGAGGATTACCTCCTTCTTTATTATCCTCCCGGGATCATCCGTTTATCGTCAAGATCCTTGCAGAATAGGTCACCGGTTGAACACGATTAAGTATGAGGTGCTGCTGTTAACCGGATTACGTGGAACTTGAGTTTTCTAAAGTAATAAAGGGGAGCTCTACGGCAAACTGATGAAATTCATAGCGCTATATACGGGGTGTGGTAAATAAACCGGACAACTGGAGAACATGAGGTTAATTAATGTTCAGCACGAGAAAATCAATACCTTTATATGCACGTAATATTACTATCTTCGTGAAGCTTTCTTTTCCAGTGATGCTGTCAAAGAATACTATTGTCGATAGCACATTAATTGATACATCATTATAATTGATTTCCGTTATTATATGTTATTTTTAGTTTAATTTCTTGACACTTTGTAGGTGTTAATAAACGCGAATTGATTTAAAAGCATGGCACTAAATCAAAGCAAAATTTTAATGGATTAATAAATTCATTATCGATCGCCGCTACACATATGTAATACGAAAAATTGTAATATAAATATGAATTTTTCTGCGCGTGGACGTTAAATTAAACTTTAATTTAAAAAAAGATTAATAATATTAATATATGTACACACACACACAAATCGCTCGATACTCTTTGTTTGAAATTTATTTTTTCGTTAAGCTCCGTATTTATTTTGCAATTTAATTATACGATAAGATGCATTAATTTTGTCTTGTTTGTTTTTCATATGTGTGATATTGTAAATAACAAACTATGTCGAGGTAGCAAATTAATGAACGAGGCAAAAGCGACTGTGCATTGATAAGATACAATCTATGACAATAAACGTTCTCGTTCTATTGATTTTTGGCTATAGGCCAACTTTGAAGCTAGGCTATGACGGACAATTCAGTGATAACATTCCGATAATAGTCAGACTCACCTGGCACGTTAACCAATCAACAAAGCCTGAGGCTCTCCCGCAGGACTGTATACGCGCTTACTCGGAACCCTGATAAGTATCATCTATTTATATATATAATAATAAGTTTCTTTTTTGCATAATAAAATAAAAGTGGTAAAAGTAAACATTTATCATAATCTCTTCTCTTTCCTATATGAACATTTATCAAATCATATTATTTCATTCTTAGTAAAGATGTACTAACATTATTTAGTATAGTACAACAAATTTGATATAAAATAAACTTCAAGAAATTGTGTAACTCCGTCTGAAGTGTAGACTGTATATGAAAGTATTATCTTCAAGTGTTCTTTCTCACGAAATATCACTCACGAAAATGAAAACTGGAACCGCGACAACATAATTAAATTCTAATCGATTTAATAAATATATATTGAAAAACAGCTAGAAATTAGATCTTTAATTTTAATATAAATAAGATTTAAAATCTATTTTTTTAAATAAAAAAAAAAAGAAAATAAAGTTGGCTAATAAACCAAACTAGTTGTTAGAGCTAATGTGTATTGCCATTTAAAAAAAATTAAGATTAATCCATTTTATTTCCTTCGTTTTTGATCTATTGAACCTTGAACAATCTTTATTTTTTGTATCAATCGTTTTAGCCTATTATTACATACGTGCAATCGAATGCTTGTAGAATGTTTATGTTAGAAATTCGTGTGTCAAGATCACTATGTATTTAAACTCTAAAAGCGTTTTAAATCTTTGTAAGGTAAACTATTCTGTTAAAAAAGTGATTAACTCAACAGTGTTTTCAGTGTGTGTTTTGAATCTTTTGTTTTACATTGCCCTGCAGAGCTACCATTGAATTTTCAACCACTCTCTATCTAGGCAATTGGGTATTCTTGTTGAATCCTCTCCATGTAATGGTCAATTTAACCCTTAACTGAAGTGGCGAAGACATCTCGCGTAACTGGAGCGCACGGGTTCATGGAACCTATATATCACCCATTTTCATATTAAAAGTAGCAAATTTGTTAAAAATATATTTATAAATTTATATATATTTATGCACGTTTTTTAAAAGAACAAATAGAAACATTTAAAATACGAAAATCCAAATGTACTGAATACAAAAGAAATAAAAGTATCAAATAAAAATTCCTAATAGTTCTTTTCAATTATAACTCAAGAAGATTATAAGAAAAAGAGAATCTTTTAACTTAATATAATAATAAGATTATGGGAACTTTCAATTTTTCTTTCAGATCTGCAATGCTCAAATTAAATGTTAATAATCACATTAGGGAATTAAGCCCGTATTAGATTACGCATTAGAGATTAAAATTAAAATTGCTTTGAAGAGATTAAAGATTGTCCAATCATTGATTAAAAATTGACGTTAAAGATTAAAATAAAAATTACTTTGAAGAGATTAAAAATTGTTCAATCATTCACTAAAAATTAGATAAAAATTAAGATTAAAATTACTTTGAAGAGATTAAACAGTATCCACTCATTGATAAAAAATTGGCTAGCTATTGGTTGATATAATAATAGTATAAGCTTACAAATATTTCAATTCTTAATCTCAATTATTGCCCGTTTTAATTTTGATCAATTAAGTCTCAATTTCTGAGATACAATCGCAATGCAATCACCAGCTTCAATAAAGATAGGTATAAATGTTACAATCCTAATTCTCTCACAGTTCTAAATTCATCATAACATCTTCACTTTTCATTTTCATGAAACGAAAGAAGATAATTGGAGCGCGCGGCAACCGCAATATACTTTGCGTGCCGGCTTCGTATCCCTGACGTTACACCCCTGACCGGTCTCTTGCGCACCCTCGATCGGAAGGCACGCATTTTCAGGCGGAATGTTTTCAGGGGGTTAGTAACGCGGCGGCTCGAGCAAAAAAATGGCGGCGGCCGATCGAAGGCGGTGGCGGCGGCGTTATGACGCATGCCGCGCGTCGTCGGTGGCGGCGGCGATGGTGGCGGTGGAGGTGGTGGTGGTGGTGGCGGCGGCGGCGGCGGCGGAGGTGGTGGTGGCGACGGCGACGGCGGCGGCGTCCTTCGGCGGCGCCACCGTCGAACTACCCCCGCAGTTCGATTGGAGACACCGGCCGGTACCGACGGCCGTCGCGACGCTCCGCGACGCGTGTGTGCGTTCGTTCGTGCATCCCTCGTTCGCGTAGAGGTAGAGAAGTAAAAAAAAAAGGAGTGCAAGGGGAGAAAGATCCGCCTGCGAGAGACGAGAGCGAGAGCAGGAGGCCGCGTCCGTGCGACAGGTACGGGGAAAACCGTCGAGCCGAGCTTTCGCCGGCGTGACGCGACGCGAGGCGACGCGAGACGACGCGAAAACGGGGGTTGAAACGGTGGTGCGTCTGGCGAGGGGGTTGCGCCGCGAGCCCTACTGGAAAACCGTGGGAGTTCCGTGGCATCTCGACGACGCTCACGGCCGCTTCGATTCGCGTCGAACAACGCGAATAGTGGCCTTTCCCCCCCGAAGGGCAACCCTCGCGGAAGCGACGAGCTTTTTCTCTTATTGATTCAGCGGCCCTTCGGTTCGCGGCCAGCGGCGCGCGATCGCTCGATAAGCTACGCGCTCCGCACGCACGCACCGCGGATGCGTATATTTTTCGGCGCGATGAGTCTCTCTCCCTCTCGCGCGCGCGAGACTTCAGCTCCTATCGATCAAAAAACTTTTCACGTATGACTCTCGACGGTTTAATCGGCCCTATACCGCGATAGGGCGTAGATTATCGCTTCTCTCGAGGCCGCTTGCTTGTTGCTCGCGCGCCACGGACTGGTGCGTCGGACGGCCGATCTTTCTTGAGGAACGAATTTCACGCTTAGCCATGTAGATTATTCGGTAATCGTTAGCAACGTTACGGTGCTGAAGCAGTATTAACGTATTAATGCGCGGAAAAGTAATGTTTCAATTAAACAAATATTCTACATATATATAAATCCCGATACGGGAATAAGTTTTCTATATTAGAATTTTGTCCGATACGAACCGATATTTATGTCGGTGAAGAAGATCCTTATTTAAAACACCCTTTTTTCGATCAGAATTTTAGTAAATATAAACTAGATTAAATTTCAGGGAATATAAACTAAATTAAAAAATAGATTCGTTTATATAACACGTCAATCAGCATTATTTTTATTGACTTATCACTTTTGTTAGTTTCAATGCGATTTTGTTGGCTGTTTTGAGTAGTCAATATAATTTTTCAATTTTTATCGAAAATTAAGAATTCCTTAACGCGAATAGTGTTTAATATGCGGGAGTGATTTTTATCGTTATAGACATTTTCGATATTAAATTGTACGAACAATAGGAAATTTAGAGTTTCGTGAATAAGTATTTGCTTCAATCGAATTGTGACATGGAACACAGCTTTGAGCTATAACGTGTCAAATGACACTGAACGTCAGTTTGTTAAGGGTTAAAATCTGTTTGTTATCGAGCCGCCAGATAATGGCACAATAGTGCAACTTGATTCTCCCTTTGTCACATTGTATTTTGTAGCAGTCTGGAATTGTATCGTGTGAAAAAGGCTTCTCTTAAAATTCCTTGACGAGCTGTGTTGCGCAAATACTAAATTACTAAGAGCTGCGGTAAAGTTGCAAGCTACTTCCATATTTCACACGTAATTATATTGCACTTATGTATTAAATGGCAGTATATTAATATATAGTACAATAAAACGTGAAGTAGAGTTTACATTTGATATTATACGCGACATAATACACTATAAATACGATTCTTTTGAAATATGTATACGAAAAATCTCTCCAGTATAAAAAGAAATATAATTGATGAAGAAAAATTAATTAAACGAAAACTGAGGAAACAGCAAAATTAAAACGACAATTGATGTGTTAATCAAATTTTTTAATATAGCTTGTATTCAAAGAGGTTGCAGTAAATGAACACATCGAATATCTTTCCATGGAAACAAATATTAATTTGTACCAGGGAAAACTCTTTCATTATTAATTGTCATATTTAATTATCGTGAAGACTTTGTAATATTCCATATTTAAACTTACAATGTTCGATATTTGATTATAACGACATTAAACATGATATTAGTCTGTGACAGAAAATTGTTGATTTAATTTTGCACATTATTTTATATAAAATTTATATGTGTATATATAGATATATATATATACACACACACACACATATATAATACACATTGCACATTAAATTATAAATAATAATAAATTTGCGATTGCTAATTTAGCTAGTCATGATTTGTCTTACACAGATAAAGATACACACCGGTAATATAATACAAAGTAAACCATTAATAAATTTTCATCAATCAATAAATAAAATGTAATAACAATAATAAAAGCTCGAAAGAGAGACTGCAAGATATAATTTGTTCAATGCATAAACGACAGATATAATAATTAGGATTATTAAACAAATCAAGAGAAACAATCATTTCTAAAATACACAAAAAATAAAATTATAAATTACTTTTGGCATATATTCTTTTAAAATTAATTTTCTATTACTTTCATGAAAGGCAAACTGTTAATTTAATATAATCAATACTATACTTTTTAAATATTTAATTTAATATTTCATATACACACTCGATGCATTAGTTTTTATAATTTCACAATTATATAAATTTGCGTACAATTTATTTCGATTTATTCGATTTTTACGTTTCATATTATCCTTACAAAATAATCGATTTAATTGAATTGATTCAATGAGATTAGAAGATAACCCGCAATTTTTTTGTGTGTCCAATTTTTAGAAAAAATTAAATATTTCCTTATCGCGATCAGTTGTTAAAAAAAAAAGATTTGATGCATGTTTTCTGATTTCAAAGATTCAGTAGTTAAAAAATCCAATTCTCAACGATGCGTGGAAAGAAGACAAATATGACAATACGACAATAAGATATGAGTCGCTTCCGATATTATAGATATAAGACATCGTAATGCGATACGTGTAAACCCGATGCATTTTCCTCACCGACTGCTGCAGCTTACATCGCGCGACCCGGGGATGGAAATTTCGGCCACGAGGCTCTGCCAGGGTAATCTTATCTGCCGCAACTTCGTGACACCAGTCGGTGACTTAAGCTGAAACGTCAACTATCGGCTACGACAGTCGATATCGAGCTTCGCGTTTACCACGATCCTTAAAATCTAAAGGCAGCGGATGTGATGTAGCACGCCTGATATAATCGACAAATCGATTACTTAGCTTCTCGAATTTTATGAGCCTGCAACTGTTTTTGCGCGCTTTATCTTATCTCAGTTATTTTACGAGTTCCGAAAATACGCTCTCATTACAGAATACGTAATATAGATCTTATTTCTCTTTTAATTATTTTATCAGAGCTTTTTTGAAGATTAAAACTGAAATAGGAGAAGCATGAAAAATTGAAACACAAATAACGGTAATATTAGCCATCATTTCGGAAATGTTGAATTAACTACCTATATTGACATTATAGTTCGATAAAACGAGATTTGCACACGATATTAACTAATCTCGTATATTGTTCCACATAACCCACATAACGAAGTCACATGTTCCGACAATATTCCGAAAATTTAATTCTAACCACAGTATACGGTTGAATTTTTTTTTCTGCAGCTGCGTACTCGACGTCTTGCATATTCACGTAACGTTCGCGTCTGGCGACACCAACGCTGCGACGGAAAGGTGTAATGCAAGCTTGGCAATAAGTGAAAAACCCAATTCTAAGGGCGTTAATACTCGCGAGTTCGCGCGTTAATTCTGTAATTGCTGTTGCAGCGCAATTCGCCTTACATTTTCCACCGTGCAAACATTCTGCCGGGCTTTCTCGGCGAAAGGATGGTCGCGTCTCGGGAGTTCTTGCGGCAGGATGCACGATTATATCCTGTCTCTTCGCTCCGCGAATTTTGATAAAAAAAGAAAGAAAAAAAAAAGAAAAAGATAGTCAGAGATAGAGACCGAGAGCGAGGCGAAAACAACCCCTTTGTGCGAGCCCGCGGGAAATATGCATGCCCGCATTGATATGCATACGGTGTCAAGTAAATTTGCATCGGGTATCGTGCGAAAATAGAGACCTATCATTTGCCATGATATAACGAGAATAGTAAACGCCGCGAATACTTTGTTACGTACACGCCATTTGCAACTGAATCGATCTCGACCTGTGTTGTTCAATTCACTTTTGCAGAACTATGAATGATATTCGCGATTGTCATCACGACAACTGGCTGAATTCACCTTTTACGACATGCTATCATTATTAAAAGCTTCTACAATTTTTTTAGTGACACCTTCTTCCTTTAGTATTAAAACCCTGCATTGAGTTTGATATTACACCTTTAATCGGCAGAACACCACTTTAAAAGTCACTCCTGTAAAAATTGTTTCTACAAAAATTTCGTAAACAATAATTGCATTGTGCATAATTACTAACAAGCAAAATATTCAACACATAGCATCGATATTAATTAAAAATTAAAATTACTTTTCGTCGGGATCTGAACTTTTCTGTTTTACTTATTGTTTCTTTGGTTCATTTGGTCCACAGAGAATCAACAGGGCTCGCGTGATCGGTTCATCGCGTTGTGACGAGTGTCTCGGACCGGTGCATCTCGAATCGCCTGGTGCTAGTAGTCGCGAGTAATTAGTGATTCGAGAGAGAGAGAGTGTCTCGCGTGTGCTGCGAAGTGATCGACAGGACCCACTGGAGCATGCGACAGTAAGGACTTATCGATCCCGGCGACGTGCATGTTTATCGCTGGACAATGGCTGGACTACGCTACGTTTGCCGGCTCTTCGTCATCTTGGGATACCTGTCGGTCGTTCCGGTGCTCGCCCAGAACCCCGTGGAGGAAAAGACCACCTTCGAGGCTGCTTTCCAAGGTGAGCCGTTTTTATTTGTCTCCCTTCCCCTCCCCTTGGATTTATAGACTCTCCGGTAACTTACGTAAGTGGTATGATATACCGATCTGACTTCTGTTTTACGGTCGACATTACTGCAAAAAGGAGCTGCGGTTCATCTCGTGAGCGCGAAATTGATGCACAATATTCTTAATCCGAAGAAGTTCTAACACACATAATCGTCCCGTTATTTTAGCATTAAAATTTACGTTTACGAATAAAATGAAACTAATACTCCGCTATTATAATACATATCATATTATAGTACGTATCTCATGCAATGAAAGTTATATATCTACATATTTTACAATCTAACGGCTGAGTAAATTTGTACTGTAGCAAAAGAACCTTATAGAATCATTTAATGTCTATAAAGATAACTCATACGTTTTAGCTTTCCATCTATAAAAATCTCATTTCTATTAATTATTTTCTTAATCAGTCCATTTCTAGATAATTAAGTTGTCCGTTGTAGTTATATATTTACAATTAATGTTGCATTTTCTTGTATACGGTGACACAACACGTAAATAACAATTTTATTCTAGAAAGAGTTTAAATTTACAGCTTCTTGAATAAAAATGTATTTTTCTTTAAAATTATTACATTTTAGATAATATTTTTTTCGAGAAATAATGCACAATAGGAAGTTGTTAAACTTCCTGTATTGAAATGAGAAGATATGTATAACGTAATATACGTAGCCGACTACCAGAATTAAAAATCATATAGGAAATCGATAATTTTCATATGCATCCATTGTTAGCTAACAATAAGCTTGAAAACTAAATGTAAATTAGTGCTTGAAAAATAAAGTTATTCATTTTATAATGCGATTGACTATATAATGCAAAAAAATAGTGACGACTTCGCCTCGGTTTCCCCTACATTAACGGATAAAAATATTTCAGGAATATTTAATATCAAGGAAAATAATCCAGAAAATTTTGCCTCTCATTCCTATAGGTTTCAGTCTAAATAAAACTCTCACTTCCGGTGATTATTTCTTCATGGATACATAGATACTACAGATGCTAAATGCATTTAAATTTTGTGTTCCAATGCAATCTTTTTCCATATTAAGATAGTCTAGACGTAACTATATTAAAGGATAAATCTATATCAAAGGATAAAAGGATATCCTAATATATTCAGAGTTACCACACTGAACCATTTCTTAATTATTTTTAAAACTAATTTTGATTCGATCATATCTTATTAAAAACATTAAGAAATTAATAATTTTCAGTTACAGAATAATCCATATAAAATAAAATATTTTTACTTAACTCTCTACACTTTGCTAAGAAAAACAGATAGCATAATCTTAAAATAGATAACACAATCTTAAAATGAGAAAGAGAGAGAGAGAGAGAGAGAGAGAGAAAGAGAGATCATTTAAAAAATATATAATTAATTTTTTGACAAAAATAACTTAAAAATTAGTATACATAATTATTAGTATACAACTATTTTATATGCCATAATCCAATAATTAGGTTAATACAAAGATTAAATATCATAACGTAACATAAATATTAAAAAATGAAAAAATTGATAAGTTTATATTTTAAGTTTATAAATATGTTGTTTTTCTATAAAGAGTTTATAAAGAATTATAAGTTAACCTTAAATGTAATTCTAAGCATTTTATTCTTAAATAAAGATTTAAATAAAAAAGTTTTCGTTAAAAGAGAATGAAAGAAGGTAAGTTTATTTTACAGCGGACAACGACTTATGATGTACTTTTTGTTGTAGCCTGGGGTTTATAAAAGTTTGATGATAATTCATCGTTTATATGGATCATAGATCCAACTTTTTATTACTTTCTCTCACTTTGTCGATGCATGTATCTTTGAGATAGACGTACTCTGTTTTTTTAAATATTTTAAAAAATCACACTGTGTAAGATGGAAAAATTCGACTTCTTCACTTCTACGTTTTGATTAAGCTTAAATTATCTTCCTCATCAAAAGTACTACTTTAAATAATTGATCTAGTCTTTAAAATACATTTTGTATCGAAAATCCATATCCACTTCGTGAAAAGTTAACGACAACATATCTCGAAAACTCTCGCGACGTAAAAAGTTTTCACGCGCAGTAGAAGAATCTGCATGGCGTTTTTCCGTTATTTCGAAAAAAAAATTCCGCGGGTTTACGCCCATTTGCGGCGCTGGTTCTTAATGAAGCGGACGGATAATTTTTGAAAAATTACCTCGGTGGCTGAATTCCACGGAGCGACGAGTTGAAATTCGCACAAGCGACCGGGGTGAGAGACATGAAAAAAAGGGTCGAGCCAGCGAAATATTTTGCGCCAGTCAGTGAGATATCTGTCGGTTGCCGGTGCGACTGTATTCAGTTAATTGTAGCCTTCGTATCGATCCTCTCGAGAATACGAGAGTGCCGTGGGATCGAGCCGCGGCGCGATAATGTTCGCAATTTTCAAGCTGCCGTGTGTAAATACTTTTGACCGCTACAACGACGACCGGCTTTTGCTTTCGCAATGTCCATGTATTTGAATATTCAAAACATTACGAGAATGCGGTAATGCCTTTCGACTATGTGTCAATATGTGCGCGCTTATTTGTTACCCAAATTCTGATAACGCTAATCGCGTTAGCACGCGATCAACGCCATACATTTAATATGCTTGTACATTCAATTAACACAACTTGACGTTCGCTTTGTTGCGTGCCGCAAATATTGTCGCTCATTTTATCGTATATATATATCGCAATAAATGAGAAATAAGGAAGATAACGGTCTATTGACTATAACAATGAATCGCGATTACATTGTTGTATTATATTTAAGGTAAGATAATCCAGCATGTATAGACCTGTTTAATGTAAAACGCCCGAGCTTTTAAGAAGCAGCGATCCGTGTAACGTGTAATTAAAAGATTAATTAATTAAATAATGAAAAATAATAATAAAGGATGATCGTTTTATATGGGATGTAATATATCGGTCGTGCAATGCATTCCACGGTATCGCCGCGATACGAAACGTGTTGATTCAACGGTAAAAACAACGCCGTGTTGAACTATGCGCGTTAAATTGAATTATATGTGACCTGTTGAAATGAATTGAATTCCAGCAAGGCCGACGTTATTCCGCGCGGAACTATTCGGCGGATTCGTGGCGGTCGTGCAAGTATTTATGCAACATTTACGATCGATTAATGCGCAGAGCCGCACGAGAATCGATATACACCAGTCCCGCCAAAAGCCATTAGAGCTTTATATTTCCGCCATTTTCTCCGACCGACATTGGCCGGCATGCCGTATTGTCGTGAGCTTCGCTCTCCATCTCGACTGCCAATATTCCAATGGCAATAACGCGAATAATGTCGAACGATTTTTCATCGCGAATGAATGCGGGCGCGTCAATGCTATTGCGTGAAACAAGATGACTTTCATTTATTTCTCATGACAATCAGTAAGCGTATTTTCATACTAAATGAAACTGATAATTATGCATGAGCGAGCTTTGTATAACTGGCCTCTCAACGCAAACCTATATACGTAAAACGATTTCGAACGTAAACAGGTATACGTATAATTTTGTACGTTGATTTTCGACTGTCCGACTTTTGGAATTTAATTTGATTCTCAATGCTAAGATACCTTCGAATATCTAGTAAATTCATAAAATTTTATTTTCGAATAATTAACGAATTATAGATTAAAACATTTTGTATAACTTGAAAAAATTTTTTAACTAGATAATATTTATAAATTAAAAGATGAATATTTTCTATTTTTTATCTTGATATTAAAAATTAATTTATATTAATTCTTGTTTAATTACTGAGATCTCTATTGTAAAGATAAGCGTTATTGTGACTGTTTAATTATCTTTATACATTTTATATTTAGAAACTTCATACAATTTAATTAAATAAAACTATTAATGAGGTCTCAAGGAAAACAGTTTGTGTTTATCATGTAAATGTACCATATTATAGATTAAATTTTCTAACTTTACGGGACGCGCGCGAATATCATATATCGTAACTCTAATAATTTGCATAATATAGAGCTAACAGCAATATGTATTTACACCGCAAAACGTTATAGCCGCGCTTTCTCATCCACATAGTCGTTAAACAAAGTCGCACATGCATTTTACATGGATATTCGTGCATGATTTCCCGCGCGTAGCCGCTATTCTCAGAAAGCTCGTTCCGCCATTCGCTCGCGCCTAAAGGGCATCAAACTGCGATATTAATCGCTCACTACCCATTAGCAAATGGGTCCCGCGCGGGGGTTTCACTCGCGCAGAGGGAGCGTGCACGCGAGTCATTAACATTAACGCACCCTTTCTGCGTCGTTAACATAGTGGCGCGCGCAATTCTCTACGCGTAAACTCTGTTCGCGCGTGCTATTGTTTAACGCATTTCCGAGACATTAAAAGTCATGTCGGGAGATTTAAGTGCGCGATAACGCTATCGCCGATGTCGATTAAAGGCGCGCGTGCGCCCGCGTGACCACGACGAAAAAGCGATAGATAATAAAGCGGGCCAATTTTCTCATAACTCGAAGATTGGTCAATTAAAAAGCGATCCGTGTTCCCGACGACTGACGGCGATTAAAGCTTTAAAGAGAATAATTGAACTTTGCATCGGACGGAAAATTGCACGGCCGCGAATAGTAGCTTATTAAAATTTATATAGCTTTCGCGTACAATGACATTTCTAGAACACAAACGGTGTCTGACGGAATGAACAGTTAAAATCTGTTATGTCATTTATTGAATTATTAAACGTATCAGAAGATTGCCCTCTTTTTTGCATCGTATATATATAGTTACACCTAGTTTCTGTATTAAATTACTAAATCAAGCTATTTTCTTTCGTCGCTAACATTTGAAAATATTTATTCTGTAATCTTGAGTGTTAATTATTACTACAAGATTTTAACTTATATATCAATTACTTTTATTTATCGAATGTAGCTTGTGCCGTGCAAATTTATTT